TCAACTGGTTTTCCTTAGATAGAAAACTTTGCATCAATTTGACTGTATGATCTGGTTGAACTGTAAAGTGCCTTGAGATGACATGTGCTGTGAATTTGGCGCTATATAAATAAACTGAATTGAATTGAATTAAAACTTCAATCAGATCACTTTGGATCTCAGTTTGAGGATCAGATCCTTTTAATCTGATTGAACATATGGAGAAATTTGAAGATGGCAACACAGACGTCTACCATTCCGATCTGCAAAGAAGAACTAGGAATACTTTCCAGATACACCATATGATTAGGAACTTTATCTTTTTATAAACAAAAAGTAGGGTGTGCCAAGCTTAAGGTTGGAGCTAAGGGAGTAGAACTTTCAAGTTGATTAGAGTAAGATCAGTTAGCTCGGAACTAAATTTAATGTGCGGATGAACATGCCAACCTGTCCACTATCCCTGAAGCAAAGGAGTGTTAGCATATGGTGCTGGGACCTTAACTTAACTAATATGACCACTAAAACAAAAGATTAGATGGAGGACATGATGGAAAAAAACACATGAACAGACATGAATGAAAAACTGAGGGGAAAGAAATGTGAGCGGCAGCAAAAAAGAGTAGCTAAAGTTGGGGATGAGCCTAATTGTTTGTTTACAAAACTGGCAGTTTCTTCTACTACTGAAGCGTTTCTGGAAATCAGACAGTTTTTCAGGGTATCCTTTTTTCTATTTTTCAATTTTATTTTATTTTTTTGATGCATAAAGGGATCCAACATCAAACAATGACTGAGTGCTTGCACCATAACACAGTGACTCCCAACTGGGGGTACTCGTACCCCTAGTGGTCCGCCAGTGCATTGGAAGGGGTCCATGAAAATATTTTATTTCTTAGGTTGTAAAATAAAATGTGAGGACCTAATAGAACAATTAAAAAGGCTTTTACCAACCAAAAAGTAAATTTTTCTCATATGTTTGTCTTGCCTACCAAGCATGGAGATGTTTCACTTCAGTCTTTCAACTTTTAAAATCTTGCTTAGCTTAAACAGAAATCAGAACAGAAAGCAACATGAACCACTCTAACTATAAGCTTTACCAAAAAGGAAAGTTTTAAGCCTAGTCTTAAAAGTAGACAGGGTGTCTGCCTCACGGACTAAAACTG